CCGAAGGTTGATTTGCTCCGCAGCAAGGGCTTGGCTCTTCTCCCGCGGTGGCATTTGGCGAGCGGTGGCCTGGCCGTGCCCGAGCCGGACCACGGCTATCACAGCCTGGAGGAGGAGCAGCACCAGCACAGGGGCGTTTCTCGAGGAGAGGACGGAGGACGGCGGCCCGAGGAGCCGAGCGAGGCGGGGAGGCAGCCTGGAGGTGAGCCCTTGGAGCAGGAGGGGGTCCGTAGCTCAGCTGAGAAGCGGGTACTTGAGGAGGAAGCTTTGAGTGAGGAGGAGGATGATGAAGACTCCGAAATAGAGCCAGACCTTCCAGTTTCAGCCCGACCTGCCTGTGCGAATAAATTAATAGACTATATCATAGGGGGAGTTTCTAGTGGGGAGGAGAGTGTGGATGATGAGGAAGACTGGGATGATGATGACGACGGGTTTGATAGCGAAGGGCTCCCCTCGGATTCAGACGCCGCCAGCCACGACGGGGAACGGCTTCATCTCTGGAATTCCTTCTACAGTTTGGATCCTTACAACCCTCAGAACTTCACAGCCACTATTCAGACCTCTTCCACCGATCCAGGAAAGGATATGTCGGAGGAGGAGGAGGAGGATTCTTCGTGGGCAGAGTCGTCCTCGGGGTCTTCTCACTCTAGTTCTGAAGAAGAGGACGAGTGGGACTGTAGCAGCGTGGACGAGGCAGAAAACTTGAAACTTTGGAACTCCTTCTGTACCTCAGATGATCCGTATAATCCTTTAAATTTTAAGGCAGCCTTTCAAACAGCAGAGAAAAAAGGGACGCCTGCTTTAAAAGGAGCAGAGAGGCCGAATTTGGTCACTGCTGAGCATAGTCATGTAGCTGTCTGCCGGGTGCAGCTGGAAGAGCAGAACTGTGGGACCACTGATGTGCAGGATGACATTATTTCTCCTGAGAGATGCAGAAGGACCAAGCGGAAAAAGGTAGATATTTTATTTCTGGCTTTGGGGAGGCTAAAAAATAACAATAATAAAACCAACCAAACAACAAACCTGTATTGGTTTGTGGGTGGGTGAGGTCACTCGTGCCAAAATTCCACAGTGGCAGGCAGGTCATGGCCCCGTGAGCTTATGGTCTAATTATTTGGCTGCAGTGTCTGCCTCGTCATTGACACGTGATGATAATTTTGGAATTCAGTGACGCGAGGCAGAGAATTTCTTCCGATGTCTTGACTGAACTTGAAAGCGAATTTTCCTTTTAAGAGGGGAGTTTTCAGTCTGTGTTGTAACTTTCTCGTCATCAGAGGAACAGAGGAGAACTGTGACCTAGGTTTTTCCTCTGGAAAGTACCAGTTTCTGTTGTTCATCACGCTGATAAAGTTTTTGCAGACTTTGCACGTGGTGTAACGGAGGCTTAAAGCATAGAGGAAGAATTTTAGGAGTTGGGACAAGCCTGCTGGAGTTCCACGTGCCTTTTGGAGCAGGAGGAATTTCTGTGGGTTAACACAACCCCAGCGTGCCACTGAAGTTTCAATACAAAGTCAGGAATACTCCCATTTCCATTTAAGTGACTATTATAATTCAGCATCTGTTTAGAAGAAAGGATGTAACCTGGGGCAGGGATTGTGAGCACAAACTGTGAGTGTAGTGTGGTTTTGAGGATTAAAAGACATTTAAAAGCTTCTTAAAAGCATTAAAAAAACTTTTATAGTATGTGTGCTAGGATTCAGATAAATAATAAAAGGCAATTTTATCCTCTTCTAAGTTAAAATCATCCTCTCGTAGGTTAAACAAAAACCCAGATTCATCCCCTTGTGGGTGAAAAAATTCAACCTCTCTGGGTTTTGTGCTGCTACAGATGTACAAAGTGGTTTTTCAGGTGCAGTGTTTGAGTCTTTCCTGGTTCCTCAGATTTGTGTGGGCCATACACTGGTGTAAGAAGCTGTGAAACCAGAAAACTTGTGTGCTGCTTGTTTATAAGTGTTTTTTACAGTGGAGAGATTGGTTTGCCCCCTTAATTGAGAGGCTGCCTTAGAGGTAACTGCATTCCTCGTTTTGCTAGGGCCAGTGGTTACAGACCTCCTGGTTCCCGGGGGGTAAACTGTTCCATTTTCATTTAAATAGGAAATACTCCAAGTTAAACAGTTCTTGCAGGAGCCCTTTGAGGTGGAGGCCTCTGAAGTGCCCCTGGGCCCTGCTGCCCCTTCACCCACCCCAGCTCCTGTCCCGCCGTAGGAATCTTTTCCCTCTGTGTCATCCGTTGATGAAAGATCGATGATGTAGATGCAATATTTAACACGACAGAGTCCAGTAATCGTGCCCAGGGGGGTTTCGACTGATGTAAAGAGGGTGTAAGGCTCGCAGGGGGCTGGGCTGATGTAACACCTCCGGCTGCTGGGAGGCAGGTGAGGTCTGGGAGGCAGAGCAGCAGCCACCGAGGCGTTCCCGGGGGCCCTCCAGTCCCCTGGCCTGCTCCAGCCTCTTCCCCACCTGGCAGCCTCTGGGCAAACAGTGGCAATTTTTGTGTTTGGAAAGACCTAAAAGCTGAGAGTGTTTTGTTTGGCCTCCAAGCCAGCCACGTGTGGGTTCTGGGGTCTGGTGACCCTGCTTCTGCCAGGAACTGGCTCTGCTTTGGGGTCACTGCACTGGAGGGAGATTGGGACTCTGGGTCCTCAGCTGCTGATTATTCCTGTAGATCATCTCTTCCAGAACCATTCAGGTTTTCTGTGAAGGTTGGAAAATGGCTCTACCACAAAACCAGCTTCACTCTACACACCCCACTGTGCTGGAGTGAACTGGGAGTGAAACTTGGCTTCTGGGTTAATCAAACCTAGGGACAAAACCTCTGTACCTGCCCAGGTATGTTTGTGACCCTCCAGAAGCATCTGTCAGCTCCTTAGTCCTGCAGTTCTGTGCAGCTAAATGAAAAGCAGCAGAGGAGGAGCCTGAAATAGTCTGGCTTGTCTTAGAGAGAGACTTAAATCCTTATTCTAGTAACAGTCTCAATACTGTCAAGCTTAGATCCTGAGCCTATAACTTCTTAAAATAACTTAATAGCTCTTAAAAATAGAATGAAAGTTTTCATATGTATTTTTAAGTGCCATGACTTGGATTCCATTTCCTTGCATGAGCTTCAATCATTGGAATGTGACACCAGCTCCAAACAGAAGGGCTTGTTCCAGTCACGTAGCCATGAGTGTTGCTTCCTTAGATGGAGCAGTGTGATTTCTTTTCCTGGAGCTGACTCACATGATTATTTACACTACAAAACTGATTTTTTTCCTTTTTTCATTATGTAACCTCCAGCAATCAGGTGTTGGCCAATAGCACATTCCCAGCCTGAAGTGAGGGTCCTGGTGTGTCCTCCTGCAGAACCTGCTGGAGCTGTGTGAGGTTACAGCCCAGCAGTGACATCCAGAGGGTTGTTACTTCACAGGGAACGTTGTGTGATGTACATCAACCTCATGAGGCCCTCCAGGAGCTCTGTAGGAACTTCAGAACCACTTTTTATAGAGCAGTTGGTCCTTTTACAGCTGAGGTGAAATACTCTGGCCTGGGTGGTCCATGGACTGATGGTGTCTCTGAAGCTTTGTGCTATTTTAGACATTGAATAATCTGTTTTAAAAAAATCTGTGCAAGGAACTATGAAGCTCCTTCCATGTGAGTTTTTGGCTAACATTTTGCCAAATGATTTCTCTTTTTCCAGGTGACCTTCCTTGAAAAAGTTACTGAGTATTACATAAGCAGCGAGGAGGATCGGAAGGGGCCCTGGGAGGAGCTTGCACGAGATGGCTGCAGGTTCCAGAAACGTATCCAGGAAACAGAAGAAGCCATAGGACACTGCTTCACAACAGAGCATAGACAAAGAGTATTTAACAGACTCCAGGAAACCTCCTACGAGAGGCTTGATCTCTTCTAGCACCTTAAAAGATGTGGTAGTGTGACCCTAAGCACTCACGGTGGTCTTCAAGAAGTGGCAGCTGCATGTGCTCTTTTGAAATGGGGAGAGATTTGGGAGTTTTAACACTTCTTTCCCAGTTTGATATTCAGCCAACAAATACACCCATGTCCCTTTTTGATAGCTAGACAAAACCTTCCCAGTCTCATGGAGGGTAAGGGGGTGTAACTGCATTCCTTTTGAGTAACACTTGAGAAGTGGACTGCTTTAGGTTAAATCCATTCCAAAATTGCCTTGTCTGCCCTACGTGGAGAAGTGGTGACTCTTAAGTTGGATTTTTTGCACTTTGAAAAAGCAAAACCTATTTTGAAGGAAATATTTATGAGGTTCAGAACCTAGTTATTGCAGTTTTGATTTAAAGTTTCTAGAGGGGTATTGGCCACGTTCTCATGGTTCTCAGTTCTCTCTTAACTTGGACTAAAGTCTCAAAATTTCGTTAGCTAATAAACTAACTTCACTGTGCAAAGCAGATAGTTTATTCCTTCCTTTCAAGATCCCAGTTTTGGATGTAATGAAGTGTTTTGAGTGTTTATGTGCTTCTTGGATGTCTCTATTGCAGCCTAGCACACTGAGGGCTCCAGGGCAGCTCTGGTGCACTACAACCCCTTTGATTTGACTTGATTTAGTAACACCTTTACCCAGTACTGCTTGTGCACCAAACCTCATTGGTGAAAGGCCTCAGCCCAATTAGTAATTAAAGCTTCAGGGCTTTTTGGAAGCTCTGGCTGCTAGTTTGAATTCAGGTGGCCATGCACAGGGAACTAGCCTCTAGTTCTGAAGTTAATCTTAGAGTAACTTTGTTGTAATTCTGCTCTCTGAGGGTGGATGGAAGGGGGGGATTGTTCATGTTTCTTGTATCCAGTGTGCTTGTTCTGGTAGTTGACAGGAGGATTATCTTGGACGTGGGCAAATCTAAGGGTACAAATCACCCTGTTCTTTACCAAAAGCCAGTATTAGCACCTCTCTGCATCAGCACTTCTGTCCATCTTCTCCCAAAACAAACATTTCAAGTTGGGGGTGTGAAAGTCGAGGTCCTCAGTGGAAGGAAAACACTCCTTATTTATTTATTCCTAACTTACAATGTTTAATTGTTGTTTCAGTCCAAAAAGCACCGTTCGGGTACGTGTGTGGACCTGAGGGATGTTGTGTGGCTGCTGCCCAAGCAGGTATGAGGTGGTGTGAGGGAATAAAAACCAAACATCAAAGAATGCTCTTTGAATTGAAAAATTACTTTTCTCTGCTACATGTTGGAAGTGGTAGGATCATGAAATTTAGAGGGTTTGCTGAGCTGCAGTAGAGTTGTCAAGTAAACTTAAAATACAGCTAAAACTCAAGCAGCTACTTGGAAGCAATGCAGCAATTTTCATCCTCATGGCATTTAAGGAAAAAAAAAAAAGACTCTCCTTCCCTCCCAAAAGATTATTTTAGTTGTGAAATCATAATTCTAAGTATGATTTTAAATCCTGTGAAATAACTTAAATTGCTAGGAGTTCACTTTCCTGTGTCCTACGTGATTCAAATTTGATTTAAATTGAATTTGATCTTTTGTTTAGGAAAAAAACAGGAGGGCGTGAAATAAATTGCTAGGAGTTCACTTTCCTACGTGATTCAAATTTGATTTAAATTGAATTTGATTTTTTGTTTAGGAAAAAAAAGGAGGGCTGAGAAATGGAGAACTGGAGAAACAGAGAATTTGTTGATTTGTGGGACAAGTGTGATTGATGAGGTGAAAATGCTGCTCATTGCTCTTGGGAAAAGATACATATATACACACACTACAGTCATTTTTCCATGACTCTCCCAGTTTCTTCAGTCTTGGAGAATTTGGTGCTTCAGTTCCTCTGGACAGCTCACTGGGTTTCCTGGTGCTTGGCAGAGCTTCAGCGTGGTGTGAATCCACACCTGCAAATACTGCAGAGCCTGGAAACAGCCACAGCTGGGAGTGAACAGAACTGACAGACTGGTTGTCAGCTTAAAAACTACTTCCAAGGTGCTTCTGATATTGGAAGAATTCCTTTTTTCCTGCTTGGGTGAGCTTCTCCCTCCTCAGACCTTGTGTTTTCAGCATATCCAGGGTGAGGTGACAGGGAATTAACACTAAACTCCTCACCTAACTCAACCTCAGCTTGGCCATCACCATTTTCCCCTCTAACACCCCTTGAAATGGTCCTACAGGATGTGTAAGTGCTTGGAGGGAGAGTAAAAACCACGCTTGTTGAACTTTAAATCAAAACTGTAATTCTCAGATTTTATTTTTGTATAATTTAGAGAAAGTTAGAAAACCTTCAGCGTTGGCTTTATACAGATTTTAATTGATTTGTGTCGAGTTTGTTGGGTTTTTATATCTAAAGTTATATTTCTGTACATAATAAAACTATTCAGAACTAATCTGTAAATTGTAATAAAGATATTTGCAAGATAATGGCAAATTGTTTTCCTTGGAAAGAGCTGATGGGAGGTGCTTCGCTGAGCTCTGCACCCACACTTGAGCTTGAGGAGAATATTTAGTGGGTTTTCATCACCTTTGATGCTTCAGAGGAGGTTGTGGTGACTCAGAAGCAGGCGCCATCCCCTGTGAGTCTCCTGAACCAGGACCTTTGTAATCACAAGGTCCTGGTGGAGGTTTTAAATTAAAACACAAAGTGTGTCAGTGCAATTAGTTGCATTCCAATGAGGTGTTGTCGTGTGATGTTGATGTTCTGCTGCTGGAACTGAAGCTGAGGGTGGAGATCTGGGCTTGGTTTGTGGAGCTAAATGCAAACAGTGCATGGTTTTGAAGGTGTTTTGGGGATTTTTAAAAGTATTTTCAGGCTTAGCACTGAAACTGGCTTGAGGTGTCATGTGTGAAGTGACTTGAAGGTGCCAAAGGTCTGATGTTTCTTCCAGCAAAGATCCAGGAGGTTTCCCTGTGTTTTTGCTGTGTGGTGCTGGCCTATCATGCACTGAAGGATTTGTCCTGTGTTTATTTTTCAGTGGATGGGAGTAAAGTGTTTGGCAGGGAGCTGGGAACACCCCAGAGGTGGCAGCACCCAGAGGCACCTCATCCTGCTCAGCCCTGTCCAGTCCTCCTGAGTCAGAGTGGAACCCCTCCAGGGATGGGCACTCCACCCTGGGCAGCCCTCCAGGGGAAGAAATTGTTCTTCAGCCCCAGCCTCAACCTCCCCTGCTGCAAGGAGCTGTGGAGTAAAGCTGCCTGGAGTGGTCTGAGGCACAAACCAGTTTTTCCAGGGGTTCCCAGGGGCTTGCTGGGGAAGGAGGGTGGCCTGGATGGGTGGGAGAACTGCTGAAGAACTTCCTCTGGAGATCCTGGTCATGGGTTTCACTGGATTGGGATGTGCTCATGGCATAGGAATCTCTGGAATGACTCCAGGGGTCAGGGGTTGCTCACAGCTTTTCTATAGTGACATTTTGGGGTCATTTTATTCCAAGTTACTTAGTTTGTGCCTTCAAGTGCTGCTCAGAGCCCAGTACCAGACTGGGGCCATATCCTGTGTGCTCTGTGTTCCACCCTGTGCCTCTTCCTTTCCTTGGCAGCTCTAAACCATCTTTTGTTTCTGGGAGAGTATTATGGGGAGAAAACTGGTGGGCTAAGGAAAAATACTGTGTGAAATTCCTGGAATACTCTGAAAAAAGTGAATGAACCTGAGTGAAGGATTCCCTGAAGAGGGAATCTAGTAATGATGGGGTTTTTTTAATGATTTTTGGAAGTCATACCCACCTGCTCTGCTGGTTCTAAAATCTGCCTTAAAAATGAACGTTGTTGTTTCTGTGAAATAGCTTAAAAGAACACAGTTAGTGTGCAGAAAGCTTCTCTGGCAGCACATCCAGATGCCATCTGGAATGTAGAAATCCTGCTGGGCTTGGTTTGTTCTACCAGCACTGAGCCTGCAGTTGGAGAATTTATCTGTTGGAGCAGAGCTGTTCTTGCTCTGGTGGCTGCATCTTCTCCCTGGGCCTCAGGAACCTGTTTGTCAGCAAAGCACGTGGGGAGTCCATAAGCTGCTATTTCTGTCCCTGCTGCTGACATGCTGGTTTTTGGGGTGGGTGGTGCTGGGAGCTGGGGCAGCCCCACAAACCCACGTTTCTTCTGCAGGAGAACTCCATCCCCACGGGATCCCAGCTCCAGGGAGAGCCTGCTGCTCTTCCCTCCTCCAGGCTGGGATCCCAGCCAAGGGTTAGCTCAGCCTGAGGGGGGAAATGATGCCCATTAGTCTGGGGGGTAAGAGGAATTAGAGCCCATTAGGAGCTGGAGTCCATCTGTCCCTCTGCTCCTGCTGGTGAGGAGCTCTGGCTCTGTAGCTGCCCCAGCTGGAGGAGCTCCTTGGGTTTTTGTTGCTTTCTTGGTCTGTTTTCAGGATGGCACGTGGGCTGCCTTCTCTGTTCTCTCAGGTGTGTTGCTTCTCTCCCCAAAAAATAAGTAGATAACCCAGCAAAGCCCTGCTGCCTGTAGAAATGTGCTGTGTGGGATACCCAGCTCTGGGTTCCAGGCTTTGAAGTGGCTGTGGGAAAAGTCCTTCTCAGCACAGCTCACTGGTTCAAGGGACAAACCCAGTGTGCACCAGGTAGTGCAAGGACACGTGGAATAGTTTGGGTTGGAAGGATGTCATTGAAATCTCCC